GGGACAGGGACAGGGACACAACAGACGCTGGGGACAGGTTGGGGACATCGGGACAGGGACAGGGACAGGGACACAGGGACACAGGGACACAGGGACACAGGGACAGGTTGGGGACATTGGGACAGGGACAGGGACACGGGGACAGGGTGGGGACATCGGGACAGGGACAGGGACACAGGGACACAGGGACACAGGGACAGGTTGGGGACATTGGGACAGGGACAGGGACATGGGGACAGGGTGGGGACATCGGGACAGGGACAGGGACACGGGGAGAGGGACACGGGGACATGTCAGGGACATTGGGACAGGGACATGGTGACAGGGATGGGGACACTGGAGACAGGGACACTGGGGACAGGGACAGGGACAGGGACAGGGACAGGGACAGGGACAGGGACAGGGACAGGGACACAACAGACTCTGGGGACAGGTTGGGGACATCGGGACAGGGACAGGGACACAGGGACAGGGACAGGGTGGGGACACGGGGACAGGGACACAGGGACAGGTCGGGGACATCGGGACAGGGACAGGGACACAGGGACAGGGACAGGGTGGGGACACGGGGACGGGGACACAGGGACAGGTCGGGGACATCGGGAAGGCGGGGGTGGGTGGGTGGGTGGGGACACGGGAACAGGGTGAGGACGTGGGGACAGGATGTGGGGACAGGGCTGGGACATGAGGGATGTGGCATGGGGACAGGGACAGGATGGGGACAGGGACAGGGACAGGGACAGGGACAGGGACAGGGACAGGGAGGAGGACATGGGGACAGGGACAGGGACAGGATGGGGACAGGGACAGGGAGGAGGACATGGGGACAGGGACAGGGACAGGATGGGGACAGGGACAGGGACAGGGAGGAGGACATGGGGACAGGGACAGGGACAGGATGGGGACAGGGACAGGGACAGGATGGGGACAGGGCAGGGACAGGGACGGGGACAGGGATGGTGACACAGGCCGGGGCAGGGGCTGTGACCCACCGTGTCCCCTCCATGTCCCCGCCATGTCCCCCTGCTGTCCCCATGTGTCCCCACCCTGGCCCCACTGTCCCCTCCTTGTCCCCTCCATGTCCCCCCTGTCCCCACTGCCCCTTCGATGTCCCCATGGTGTCCCCTCCGTGTCCCCTCCATGTCCCCCCATGTCCCCCTGCTGTCCCCAACGTGTCGCCACCCTGTCCCCATGGTGTCCCCTCGATGTCCCCTCAATATCTCCTCGGTGTCCCC